CAAAAACTATTTACACATCCAGCAGACAAAGAGAAACATTGAACATTCACTCAGGTTTTAACATCAGTTTGAGCTGACCAGGTAGCACTGTCCTGGCTGACCTTGTTTTCATGAAACGGGGTGAAACCTGTTTAGAGCTGCAGTGGGTCTGTCACTGTCAGCATGAATGACCCTTCCACATCACATCCAGTTACGTATTTGATTCAACATTAAAATAAAAGTTACTCTGGCACCGACACTGGTAAGAAAACTAACACAAAAATGCCCTCATGTATACAGGTAGCATCCATCTCATTCTCAATTTTCACATCTCATTTAGCTGATTTGCAATTTTCTCTGCAGATCAAATTAAGCACAAGCGAATCGCGCTGCAACTCTTGTAATTTTTGGACATGTAGAAAAGACACCACACTCCATACACTCTCAAATCACCGGTAAACAAATCACTGATGTAAAATGTTATTTTCAGCATCAGTAAGTGTAGCTTTCAAAAGTGTAAAAACTGTCAGACTGACTAAGACTGAGGTTCAAAGGTGTGAAAAAAATGCAGCCCTCTCTGATCATTCTGATGGGGGATAGCATTCACCACACAGCTGGCACCAGCAGCTTGGGGGCTCTGGCAAAACGATGCAGCCCCATGTTGGTTCTGGTTCAACTTTCACTGCACTGAATCGTGACATCATCAGGCAAAGGTGCTGCCTTGACCAAACACGTACAGGGGACAGTCAGAACATGGATGCCCACGGGAAGAGTGCTCTTTTGTTTAACATGTTATCATCAGCATTGATTGATTTTCACTTTCAAATTTGGGCAACAATTACAAATGCACCATAGTGACGCCCCATGTGCTTTTGTTAGTTATTAATATAGGCTACTGGATGTTAAAAGGTGTTTTTATGTATCAATGCCGACACACTGGTGGTAGAAATTGTGCTAAGGCAGCATAGGCTATGTTGGCAGCATGGCTAACCAAAACACAAATGGAAACTTGGGGGCTGGAAATGTGAGTGAAGCCAGTCATGTCGACTTGTCACAAGGTGGCCACATCATACACACCTATGTGACACTCCCTGAAATCCCTCACCAGCCCCTTGTGTTAAAACACAGCAGGAGTTGCGTTTTACTGCACTTTCACTCTGAACGCCCGCTAATGACATCCAGACTAGAACACACACAGAGTGTGAACTCCTTGCAGGCACACAAACAGTATTGGCCTTATTAACCTCATGATGTCCTCTGCTAACCAGCCTTGGGTCATTGTGCTTGTGGTACACACTGAACGCTGGTACAAGGCCCCGACTCCTTAACAAATATAAAATAAAATAAAATAATATAAAATTTAAAAAATCACTCAAATGTGGAGGGTGTAACAGAAAACGTATGCATGTCAATTTCATTATATAATGGATCCCTCCCAGTGTCAATGTTAAATGCATTTGTTTGTGTGTTTACAACATCACATTAACAAAAGGCAAAAATATAAAATGCACAGCTCTACACATTCTGCTGGGTGGCCCCTATATCTAATTTGCTTAGAGACTAACAAAGACCTGGGGTGATCCTGGCTGTTTACCTAGGGCTTTACTGATGCATTTCATCCACAGTCCATGTTCTATCCTGCTATATTTCAAAGGAAGAAACTAAAAGGAGCTGTTCTCTCAGCAAAAGGAACATTAGGTTACTGTTGTAGTACATTATAATGATCTCTTGTCTTTGAGCTGTTAAAGCCAGATGGAAAGTGAGAGACAGACAGATAAAGAGAGAAAATATATCCTTTGAATGTCATGCACCAGACAGCACTGCAAGGCACATTCCTGGGTCTTAAGATTCAGAGCCTAGAGCACACTTCCTTTCTTACAGCTTGCAGGGTACAAATCTCTCAGAAACAAGGGTGTCTGAGTGAGCTGTCAAAAGCAAATGTCAATCTTTTTTGTCATCCACACTCAGGATTCTCACTTGCAAAAGTCCCTGAGGGGAGCTCCATCTCAGCCCACCACTTTCTTTCTCTCCTCCTGCAGCCATACCATCAACAAAGCCAGAGAGGAAGTGTCACATCAAGCCACTGTGCCTCTGACAGGGGTTTGTAGGGGAAAAAAGAAAAAACTATTTACACAAACAAACTGTGTGCATACACACATACACACTATGCCCTTGTAGCTTCCCATAAATATCCTACAAGATGCAACTTTTCCCCCATTAGCTATAAACCCGCTCTCTCTCTGGCTTTAGTCCTCCTGTCAGACAGGTGTCCACGCAGCTATCCATCAGCATCCCTCAGCATATTAACAATACACTTTGTCCTTCACTCTCAGAGCTTATTTTATACTTTCAAATAATACAGGGAGCCAATTACAGCCAAGCTGATCACTGTAACAAAAATTAAAAGATAAAGCTTTCATGCTTGAGCACTTTATGTTTATCACAGTTACACCCAAAATTTGTTATCAAAATTTCTTTTTTAAATATTAAACTCCTGTATTTAGCAAAGCTGAAAAACTGGGTTAAACAATCCTTAAATTAAGGTACGATTAAGCAAATGAAACACACAATTCCAGCCACGTCTGCAGTATCCTATGTCTACAAGCACAGGCCCAGCAACCCACAGAGGTAAGCATGTGTGTGGCTGAAAGAGGAGGGTGTCTGTATATAAGATGAAAAAGCCCTATAAACATTTAAATGTTTGCAATCACCAGCTGGCCTGTCTAGATAGCCTTCACTTCCTGGTGCACTGCAGTGGCAAAACCTAAATGCACAGAGGATGTGCACCCGTAAATATTTTGATTCAACTCCATCATGTAGTGTACACACACACATCATGCTTGGACTTGCAACTTACATTGCACATCTGATTTAAAAACTCCTACATTTATTTTTAGACTGAGGAGCGAGAATTCAAGCTGGAGGAGAAAGGGGATTTGAAAATGAAATAAATAAATAAGAAAATTCCCAGCAGTAGACATAATGATAGGAAGTAACTGTGTGTGTGTGTTTTTTTTTTTTTTTTTTTTAAATCAAGCACCTATTCAGGTCTCTGGTGAGACTCTCGCTCTTGCTTACACAAGCAAAAGCTTTCAGTGGCATCTGCAGCTGCATTCATGCTTTACAGGTATGCTGCAGACTCTTCACACAGCTGCCTCTAGCAAAGTGGCTCTGACTCCAGGTGCGCCTCCCCCCTACACCCCTCAACACCACCCTCAATACTTCCAGTATAGGTGCCAGCAACACAAACATGGCTGATAACCACCCTCAGACATACAGCAATCACATTCTGCAACAGTCACTAAACACATTTTTAAGGGCCACAGGTAGCTCCTTGACACCTTTCACTAGCTCATGCCATCATACATCACCTGTGCTCCATATTAATCCAATACCAATATCCTCCTAAAGGCTGTCAAACAACCTCCCAGTCAAACATTTTCCACACATCGCGTGAAAAAGCACCTCAACCCCATCAGTTTTGTGCTGGTGTAGACAACACTGGAACTCTTGATCACTGGGAGGAGCAGGACCGAACACAGTCTTTCTCTTTTCTTCTTTATTTCACTGACATCTTTTAAAAACTTTAGGCCAGTGTTTCAGCTCATATACCACCTATCAGAAAACTGGATTTATGTTATTTCTTTCTCTGTCAGCAGGTTATAAGAGACCTACAGCCCTTTTTTAATGTTGCCATCTATTTATTCTTTTAAATGGGATCAAAGACTAACTGGAATAATTCCTCCAAGCTCCAGGCTTTATCTTCTGAGCAGTACTGAGTGACAAGAACAAGCTGTATTTTATCCTATGCTCTGTCACAGTTTTCCCCATCTAGCATTGTACTGCTTGATTGTACTCTTATGAGTCACAGAACCGCACCTGCGCCCATGTGTTAAGTACTGACAAATAAAAGCCCAGCGTCCATTTACACAACAAAGAGATGTAACCCGCAAGGCAACCATTCTTTGCCTCCCTCCCTCTGTCTGACAAGACCTCATATATATCACTTTCTTAAGAGGAAGGCAGCGCATGATCCTGCTGCTGCCAGAGACAGCTTCTCTCCCTCATGCTCTGACAAACTTCTTTTCAAATACAAATCCAGAAACAAAACACATGCCAGCCTTTATGTTCCCTGGCCTGTTCCATATTTGATTTCATAGTAGCAGCAGTAGATGTGACAATTATCAAAGCTCTGAAAGGCAAATCCAGTCTCACACTCCCTAACCTTGAAAGTGTCTAAGAAAAGAAAAGGGAGGCATTTTGGTAAACCAGTTGCTTCATATTAAAAACAAAACATTGTCTTGTACCAGTTCTAGGAATTTAAGGCAAGGCTGAATAAAACCTTTGCCAATGCACTAGGGTTTTCACAATGAACATCTGACTTACTGATTTATGCATATTAATGAATATCCCCTGTCTAAGCGAATGCAAGCTGAGCTCCACACTTCTCTGCATCCTAATGGTTTCTGCTCCACCGGGATCATTACCAATAGAAATTTCAGATATTCTGTGCTATTAATCTCTGTCTGTCCTCCTGTTCGGCTACGTAATGACTAATTAAACATCAAAAGAGCAGAGCTGGGGATCCGCTCTGACAGCCTCTCTTTCTCCCAGGAGAGGCTGTGAGGACGCTAGACTGTGACAGAGTAACACTGAAAATCAATCACGTGTAGGCACATGCGCACACATACACAAAATGTACAGAGAGATGTTCCCTACAGAGACATTTGCATACTAACATTCAACAACAAACATGTAAACAACAAACATGAACGGACAGAACTTTGCTTTCCAAATGCACGGGCATCACTTGTGTCACTTTTTCAAAGACTAAAAGACTAAAAAAAAACAAAAAAAAAAACCACAGCTGAATTCCCATCCAAGAAGTGTGGAAGCAATGTCAAGAGCGCCGTGTGTGTGACAGGGAGGGCATGTGAGTAGCAAAGATGTGTGTGTGTGTCTGCTAAAGTAAGCTCACTGTGAAATCTATTTATATGAGAGGTAGATGATCTTCCACTCACAGATGAAGGCAGGCCAGGAGGGACCTTGCGAACCTTTTTTGTTTGTAGAGGATCTGTGGAGAGATGAAAGCACATCTATTCATTCACAGGCAAAAAAGGAAGCGACTATGAATGTGCTGTAAACAAGCCAGAACTGGTTTATCCGCAACAGTGGTTCACCATCAAAATTCACTCAAACTACAGTACTGTGTGTGAATACATGTTGACTGCCATAAACAACTTTAAATGTATCTTTTTAGTGTTTTATTTCAATCCATTTTGTTTATTACATTTCAGTTAAATTTGTTTTCAACTTGTATAGAGCACTGCATCAAAGACAGTGAAACAGCATGATTCACAAGCTGGCAGGATTACTGTTGTCTTTTACTTTTAATATTTCAAAATATACTTTTCACCTTTTTTGGAGTCTTAAACCCCATTTAGACTGGATTTATTTCTCGAGGGGCGGTGGGGTGATTATAACATTACCTGCTCTCGTCAGTGTCTGGAATCCTGCCTGGAGTACAGGATTTTCATCCACACCCCTGTAACAATTAATCTACAGTAACCTACTGTTTTTCTGCAAAGTTGTCCTTCTGTCATTTAAATTCTATGGAAGTGAAGTCTATATATTTGAGTATATGTCAGTTGTTTCCACAAGAAGAGCTGGTGGTCTTTCTGCTTTTTCCGCATTTTTAAAATCAGCTCGGTGTAAAATGTGACTTTCGTGTAAAATGGCCAAAGACAAATATTTTTGCTAATCTGACAGATGTAAACATATTAACAGTATCATATACTATAGGAATAAATATGATGATAAAAAAAAATGTAAAACCATCAGAAGAGCAAGACTCTGTAAAAGCTCATCAAATGTGCTGCTGTATTGTCAGGTACAACCAGGTACCTGTATTATCTTTTGGCTGGTTCTGCTGAATGTCCCTGTCTATTACAGTTGGCATCCTGTAATTTTCATTTTGGTTAAAATGTTGCCTGGAACAATGAGGAGCACTGTGAATATTTTATTACTCACCGCTCCCTGTAATGTTAAGCCCATCTGAATGGGGCTTTAGATTTCAGTGAAAATGTGTAATTATTTAACTACATCAGAATCTACACTCATCCCTGAGGAGAAACAACAAAAATGGTTTCAAGAAAACTAAGTGATCATTTTTAGGACATTTTGTGTCAGTACCATAGATTGTAGACTGTAAGATGGATGATGCATCATCAGTCCTGCCACTATGCAAAAGTGAAGCCAAAATATGTCAAATATGGGGTGGCCATCTTGCTTTTGTGACGCATTTTACAACCAGATTCTGTGGAGAAGCATTCAAAGGCGGAGCCCAGGTATCAGGCTGCCAATCAAAGCTGTCAAATCATCTGATATACACCCCTTTTTAAAGAATCAAACAAGATACTAAATACAAACTTAATAGAAATTGACCATTTGTACTCAAACCAGTGTGATAATTACCTAAAATGACAGAAATCAAAAATTAATTTGATTTGTACTTTAGTCTGGATCGCGTTAAAATGGAGGAGGTAGGGTTTTATGACCTATACTGCAACCAGACTGCAGGGAGCGATTGACTTATGATGGCTTCACTTCTGGGAGGTGTCACGTCATCCATCTTTATACAGTACATACAATCACTGAGGTGTCACTGACCAATGGGCAGAGGATCTTGTAGAGAACGTCGTCTGGGATTGGTCCCAGTGAAGGAGTAGAATGGAGCAGCTGCCTTCCCTGACGTGGTCACTGAACTAGGACTTGCCAACCCAATGTCCGATCTTAGAGAAGACTGAAAAAGAAAACACATGCACGCTTAAAACAAACTTTTTTTCACTGTCAGTAATGAGTGTGTTTACAGTTTAGTAGTGTGTAGTAAAAATAAGAATTTTATTAAAAAAAAAACATAATGATTATGTAACTCCAGTTTATTTCATCACAGGACAGACTGTGCCAACCTTGGAAAGCTCACCAAACCCTCCTATCATCAATATTGATTTGACCTGTACAACCCAAAGAAACTGGGTTAAGAGGCCAGTTAAGCACTTGGTCTAATTAAAGTATTTGGCAGCAGACCAGCAGAGCAGGGATCATGTGAGTGAGTACAGCTCGCCTCACTTGCCCTCTCTGAATCCCCTTTGCAAGCTGAGGACTGACACAGTAACCACTGAGAGATTTCCAGACACGTGTTCTTTTATTATTATTTTTTTATTCAATACAGGAACTGTCAAATTCAAAATATACTAACAGTAAATGTTTGAAAAAGACACAAAATGTACAATAAAAAAATGATAACTGTTTCTCAAATGTAGGTCACCACCAACCGTCAAGGTAACACAAATGTAATTATAAATAAATAAATTACGGTTTTGTAAAGTGACAACCTGTCACTGATGCCACAGCACTGACATGACTCTACAACAGATCCACTTCTGCTGCTGCCTTTGTTCAATGATACTGAAACCTGTCAGCAACACTGGCTCTTTTATAGCCACCACTCAGGAACCAAACACTAAGGAGTCATGCAGGTTTTGGAAGCAAAACCATCTCTGACCTGTACACCTCTGAATTAATTTTATTACCAAACAACAAATGAAGTGAAAGCACCTCAATCCAACAAAGAAAATGTATCATTCAAGACTGTTAGAGAATAAATACTTCAGAACTGAAATGTTAAAATCATTTGCAGCTCATGTGAAATGCACTTGAGCGCTGACTGACAGGACTGAGTGAATGAAAAAGTCTGAATTAAAACCACAGGAAGGCTCTGCAGTCACAGTGTACACTAGTTGCCATATGGCCTACCTGCCTTTTGTCAAGTAGATCATGAGATTAATTGTCTTATTCAATTATTAGGTTTATCAAGTTGACAGAACACAGACTACAGGGCCAAAAGCAGGCTCCATCTCAATGGGACTGCTGGGCAGCATTTTAAATGCTGTGTTGAATAATTTTACCAGTATTTACTGTTATTCTTGAGTTTTCATGGATATTTCCACCATTTACACTTTGCAGTTTAGTTTTATTGCGGCTCGGGGAATACCTGAAGGGCAGAGTCTGACGGTCATCAGGATATATTCACTTTCTAAAGGGGTTATAATTTTAAAGTGATCTTGTCAAGCCTTAGAAACTATCAGTAAGATTTTAAAACCAAATCCAAAATTAACAGGAAGACAAAGATTAGAGGTTACAGTGAAGTGGACTTAAGTTAGGGGTCTTATCTAAAGCCTGACTGCTGTGCTTGTGGTAGGTACAGTGAAGGCAGCTCTTATTTAAACAGGAATAGAGGGATTTACAGTAATCCAACCTTAACTAAATAAAAGCATGGATTCCCCTTTTGAAATCAGTGGAAGGGCAGCATGGTCTAATTTCCGCAACATTTTCTTTTAAGTTGGAGAAAGCATGACTAAACAATCTGACTTGCCTAAGAGTGAAATTTCAGGGGTAAAATAATGTTTTTTAAAGCACTAAGTAGACGGGTCACACACCCAAATCAATGAGATGTTTCCCCTAGTTTAGTTCATTCATTGTCACACATCAGCACCTTTGGGTGATTCCGGTGTGCGAAACATTTGTTCGCTTTGGATTTTGATTTTGGTTGTGCACAGCTCAACTCCCTCTGTTATGTTAGTTGTGTGTGATGTTCTTTACCTTTACGCTACCTTGTAAATTCATACTTTCACCATCAATCTGACAGGAACAAAGGGTTCATGTGGACAGGTAGCAGGCCATGTTAAAAACAAATATTTGAAATGAAAGCTAGCTACATAATACCTTTGTCTCTGGTAGTGGTTGGTCTGCTCAGCTTTACTACTCACTCAAATTTACAGATTTTTCACCACCAATTCTGACATGTTTTGCTTGAATGAAACTACCAACAACAATTTATAAAATATAGTTTGACCTGTTTTCAAGTTAGCCATTTTTATTGGTATTGGGGGATATAGTGTATGGTTTATATTTACGATATAAAAACATGATCAAAACATCTGGAACAACAAACTTTTAACAAATGTTTAGGAACTCACCTGGCAGCCAGATGCTCCGGGATCCCTCCCATAGCCAAGAAATGAAGCCCTCTCTGATTTACCTGCAAAAACACAGAAAGGCAGTTTTAATAGCGGTCACTTTTTATGAAACTTCAACATACATCTGGGTTAATAACTAATTATCTAGTAACAGACTACATATTGATTGTGGTGATCTGCAGTGAAGGGTTTTGCAAACAATATGCTGTTATAAAACGTTCTTAACTATGCTGACAACAATTTGGATCTTATGCTGCATTCCATTTTAAGTCAGAAGTCAGACTTTCCAAGTTCCCATTCATAAATTTCAAATGGAATGCCCTCTGAAGTCAGAATTCCTATTCAGAAAGTCAGAGAAACCACGTCAACCTCGACTTTAAAACTCAAGATGGCTGCAACGTGCATCAACAGTCGTGAAAGCCATAGTAATATAGCATTTATTAGCACTTCTGCCTTATTTGTATCCTACTATAACAGACAAACAGTACTATCCAACCTCTATCTGTTGGCTTGTTGCCACAATGTTCGCATTTTCTTCCGACTTGGCGTTATGGCATGCAGTTAACGCCGACTTCCAACCTTCAAGGTAAATAGAATACAGTACTGATTTTATTACTACCTCATAAGGGGTAGTGAAATTTTGCTCCCGGAATGCATCTCCAAAGTGGGCACAGGGCAGCAGAAACAAACTCCAGACCCTGTGATGAGGGTTACTGGGCTCAGCACATTTCGGTAGGTTCCTATAATGGAAAAACCACGTGCTAAAACCATTTGACAGTAGTTTAGACAAGATGAACCTTCATAGTTCTCTAAGTTGTAGTAAAATGGTTCCTAACTGTGACAAATTTCATACGAAAATCCAAGAACAAAACATGTGCCTCTGTAAAACGCTGTTATCCAGTATGTCACAAAGTTTTCTGTTTCAGTGGATTAATTACTGATAGCGTGAAAATTGTCAGGACCCTTCTGTCAGTGTCACATCCAGTGTGTACACTTCAAAGGAAGGTTCCCAATAAGCCATCAGGGGAAAAATAAAACTTACAGCACACAACACACATGAATCATACATATCACAATATTCAAGCTCAGCAGTTTCAGTCCCCTGGAAAAACAAACAAACAAATGAGAGCTCCTCAGGGAGAATGATGAATAACTTTAACAGCCTCATACATTATTTTTGTCAGACTTCCCGATATTACATGCACACACAAAAGCATTGGGAACTAAATTCTGTTTACTCTGGGGAAAAGGTAAATATTTTCTGTGAGTTAAAAACTTGCATAGCCTGGATCTTTTGTTACACAATGACTGATCTGAACATTGCTCTCACAAGTGCAGGTGAACAGAGGCACATCTAAGAGAATCCACTTGTGCTTATCTGAACAGTCCTGCTGGAGACAGTTGTTCTGCATCTATGCTCACTGTCCTTAGAGACCAAGAAAGCTGAGGAAATCAGGGAAGATGGTTTAACTGGCAAAGCTCCTTGTCATATAACTGTAGTGTGATACAGTTCTCAGGCATCATCCGTGCACAAGGAAAGAGGATTAAGTTGCTGGTTACCACCAACGTTTGCTATCACGGCAGGATGATGAAACATCTTTTGACAGGGAATTTTAATTTCTTTATGTTCCACCTAATATCTAAAGGTGGTTCAATGAAATTCATTTTCCTTCCTTAAAGGTCTTCCAAGGAAAATGTCAGATCAAGTGCAGGAGTTACAGTAAATATTGGCAGCATGTGTTTTGTCACACACACAGTGTCTGATGTAAATAATTGATGGTCACTGTCATAGTTTCAGGGCTCACTGGGGCAGACAGATGTGTTTGTGCAAATAATGTCCAAGTCCACATTATAACACAGAAAAGCAGCCTTACAGCCCCCCCAAAACTTCAGAGCCTGGTAAAATAAGGTCTCAACAGTGAACCCTTAGAACTCTGAGCCCAATACAGTCTAATCAAGAAATCACTGAGCAAAATACTAAATATAAAGTACACTTCAACAGGGAAATGACAATATAAATTGTCTTGGACAACACAAAAGATCCAGCAAGTTTTCTGTGATGCAAAATAAACCATATCATAAAACTGGGATGTAAAGATTAATCAATGCAAATCAGAAAATCGTTACAAGAGTCAGAGATACATTGGTTCAAAACCACAGATTATAGATATCATAAACCCATCTTTTGCAAGTTTCTTGTTACTTCTCACTGTGCTCCACTCTAGTGCTTTGAGTGTGTGTGCGTATGTGTGATACACCATCTCCTGCCAGTGTCCAATCGCATACAACAGGAAGTTCTGGCACAACTTCGCCCACTGTCAAGGTGCACAGACAAGGGAAAAACAAACTGGAAAGCAAAAAGCCCTGACAAAGGCTTCATGCTGAAATGCCTTGGTGTTTTTATTAATGTTGCTCAAAACACTGCAAGTGTTGCTGGACTTTTTGCTTTCCAGTGTCCAACTGTATTCCTGCTTCTTAAAGTTCAACTCCAGACAAACATTAATATTTGTCTCTGCATATAAACATCTCAGCTATAAACAATATATAGTCTCAAACAGTTTTTCTTCAGAAAGTTCAGTGAAGCTCTCTGTAATACATTTGCCCCTCTTTGTACATTCCAGGACCTATGACTAATCAAATATACTGTATGTAATTGCATCTACAGCAATGCCAATATGACAGAAGCCAAATTTTTTTTGCATCAAAAGGCTCCCAATCCTGATGGATGCCTTTCACAAAGATAATTAAAACATTACTTTGAAATGCAGTCAGGTGAACCTTGGTTTTACCTATCTTAATTTACTGTAGAAGAAGATGAAATAATAACTGAAGTTCGTAATATAGGTGGTGTAGAAGATCAAAGAATCCAACCCAGGGGCAAAGGCTGTCACAGATGCCATGACCCATCACGTTTTCTGCAGCAAAAACACCAGTGTGACCACTGGACATGGCGGCCTCCCCAGTTCAGACGCTGCTCCCTACACCACCTTCAACCATCAGCATCGGCCAGCAAGAAGAGAAGGTTTCAGTAGTGCTCAGAGGACATGGCAGTGTTCTTGAAGATTAGTTTTAGTATTATGTATAGAGGTCATGGATGAACAGATCTCTTAGTTTGTTTAGACTGTACCACTGAAGCTACAGCAGCTCTAACTACTTTTACGTTCCTCATCTCTGTGGTAAAGTAGAACAAAGTGATACATCAAGTTGAACATATTGCTGGGTTAGCCAGTTCTACAGCCAGAAGCCTAAATTAGCTGAATAAAATACACCTTTAGTATACAGTGACACAATCTCCTGCTTGACACACAAATACTGTAAGTCATTCTGAGGAACTAGGTCACTGTAATAATCAATTGCGTAAATAAATAAGCTGTTACGTTTTTAAGTTTCCTAACTGAAGCATTAAAGTTTGCAACAACAACCATTTCTACTGAGTGGAAAGGATAAACCAAGAGAAGAACAATTCATCAGGTTCAGGCCTGTTATTAGCAACGCTTTGTCTTCCCGTGTCTAAGCAGCTCTATGTGATCCCAGCCTCACAACTAGTTTAACAATAATATTGTTATTATTAATTCCTGAGTACGCTCATTTGTTCTGAGCAGGACTACATGGCACTAAGTGTGTTTTCTTTTTGTGTCACAGAAATACAAATGACTCTCCAGTGCACTGCAGTGATAGGTGGCAAAGTCCTTAAAATATAATTATACTGTATATTATATAATTATCAGCCTTAAAATATCACATGCAGGAGATATAAATGTTAAAAGCTACATGAGTAAAATGCCTTAATTACTGCAGTCACTACTGTTTAAATATGAGATTTAAATATTCCATTTGCCATTACATATTATTTCCCCAATGCAATGAAAAAATCAATTGAATGAGGGAAAAAATTTGACCAATTGTGATTAAAATATTCCATGACAGCATATCACTCTGAAGTGTGAAAGTGTAACTATAATTGTGAAGCATTTTGCTGCAGGAGAGAGTCTATACTCCTGGCAGACAGACTGAACAAAAGAAAAAAAAAATCTGTGCCAATTTAGTGGCAAGAATAAATCATTTGCAGCAAGATGTCTCAAACCATGGTTTCCTCTGTTTTTTATCACCTGTGCTACCACTGCTCATCAGCTGCTCCTAATATTCAAACCTAAGATCTTTCAGCTGTATAACCCCCTGGAAAAAAGGACTTTGCCAACTGTATTCAACAATTTAAAAGTTTATAAATAAATGAGAGTGAATAAACAGCTCAAATATTTAATTCTCTGAGTCAATACATAGTGAAATAAACTATTACAGCTTTGGGTCTTCTTTACATGTGCATCAGCTTTGCACATTCAACTACTGCACTGTATGTGCTCGGTCAAACTGGATAGTGAGCTGTCATGAAATCAGTATACACTACTAGAACTACTACAAGGGGGCTTGTAACTTGTGAAGGCACTGTAGTGTTTATTCAACTATAAACCTAAGATGCCTGAGGTCAAGGTTTTGTTGAGACATAAATAATCATGTTACTGGAATGTCTTTGGCACTGTGAAATAGGATAACCTTAATAATTTGCTTGTATCTGGCAAATTATTTGGCTCCCTGCAGACTGACTGTACAACCACGCTTTGAGCAGCGATGGTGTTGCCTGTGCCCAGTTTCTGCTAAATATAGCACTTCGTATTATAGCTGGAGTGCTGAGAATCTTTTTGGTTCAGCCTTTCTTTTTCCATACTCCAGGCTGCTGTCATGTGCCTTCTATCAGGAGTGGCTTGTTTCCACTCGTTCTGTAATAAAGCCCAAATTTTACAAGTGTTTCGCTGATGTCTTGTTCTTCTGGGTAGGACTGTCACTGCAGCCAAGGAAGTGCACAGTTTTGTCAGTTATCCTTGAGGTTCTTGGTCTCCTTGCCTGGTGGATCAGTTTGGTTGGGATAAGCAGCCCCAGGTCTCTAGTCCCACCCTCCTATTTCCTAATGGTGACACCTGCTGTGCTCTTGCAACACCTTGTATTACACTGATATTCGCTACTGTTCCAACACACTTTTCTACTGCACTACACAAAATGTGTTTTG